TTTCTCTTTCATGGTCTATTGTTTTCTGATGTATTCGTTTCACTTAACTCAACTATAAAGCTGGACTGAATATTGTTTTTTGTTACTTTCTTGTACAAGCTTCTAGAAAACACCATAGTGCATTGTACAGGAAATATAGTCCCTGAACCTGATTCATCTCTGCATCTGTAACACCTAGCACAGGGCCTGAGTTGTAGCAGGTGTAACCTCTGGTAAAACTCTAGCGGGGCTTTATTTGAGCGTCCCCAAGGTCCTTATCACGTATCATTACCGGGACGAGCACAGATTGTTAAATCAGTGTTGGGGAGCTGGACCATGCTCTGGGAGAGATGTTCACAAACTCAAGCCTTTGGATCAGACAAGAAAATGGACACAGAAGAAAGAGTGGCTGAGGCAAGAGGGTGGCTCTTGGTGAGGATGATGACTACACAGGGAACAGCGAAGGACGAGCCAGGTCTTAGCTGCAGCTAACTCCCCGCTGCCTTTCATGGCCACAGAACTGGCTACCTTCCAGCCTTCCAACAGAGGCCCAAATCTAGATCCATATACAAAGCCTCCGAGCTAAACGCTTAGTTTAATCTTACCTAGCCCACCAGAAATGGGTCCTTAGGGTGTGCGAGCCTAATTAGCATGCACCAGCTGCATGGGCTGCACACGCTGACAGGGCATTTCCAACACTCCATCTGGCACGTGCAGAAGAGAGCGCAACAGCTCAAGGCTGGAGAACCCAGCACACACCTCACCTCTTCTAGGGTTGCCGTATCCCCAGGGACACGCGGCCACGTCTCACGACATCTGTGGTGGCCAGATAAACTTGAAAGGCTGGTGGATGAAGTCAAGAATGTGGCTAAGCATCCTTGATGTGGTATAACAGGACAGCTCCTAGGGAGAAAGAATTGTCTGCCTCAAAGTATCAGCAAGGCCAAGGTGGAGAAACTGTCTATTACCACAGTGGCTTCCAACCCTGGTCGCAAATTAAGAACACTTGAGAGGCTTAAAAAAAAAAAAATCACATGCCAAAAATAAGAAAGGAAGACTCTCTGAGTAGAGCTCAGACTCTCTGTTGTAAAAGTCCCCAGGGATTCTAAGATGTGGCTGGATTGAGGCCTGCGAGGTGGAATCACAAGATCCCAGCATGCTCCTTGGTGGAATCCTTCTCCTTGCTCAGGACCTATTCACTCAGTAGATATTTTGTGACCTGGATAGGGGTAGATCAGCCACCTGTCATTTACACCCTACAAACTGCTGTGTTTGGCTTGTATTGACTTTTAGCCTATTGGTGGCTAATAAAAGCTGTTTTCCCCCTCCAGTCAATTATTCAGGCCGTCCGACGGGCAAAACTTCCGGCGTGCAAACATGCTTTCTGCTGAATAATTACTTCTGAAAGCGAAAGGTCTGCAAACAATCTATGCAATATATTCATACCAAAGGAGGCTGATAAAATTAACTCCGTCTTTCTGCCGTCCCTCCTCACCACAGGCAATGACAAGGTTTAGAAATGGAACAGCAAATGCAGGCTAGAAAGTTTCACTGCTATCGATTGAGAGAAGAAAGAAGAAAATCAAAAGCAAACAAAAAAACCCAACTAAGACCATAAAGAAAGTAAAGATAGGAACAGTTGATGCTGACTGGGTTTCATTAGCATCTCAATGATCGGATTGGTTGGCTTGTTTGCATCTAATGCAGGCCTGGGGTAGACTCTCCATGGGTCCTGATAATATAAATATTGTAAGGACAAAGGTGCACCTTGAAATTAGGACCATCCTGTCTACCTGCTTGCCAGCTACTGCCCAAGAGTGCTACCCACTGGAGTCACCTGTTGGAGGTTGCATGGGAACGCCAAGGGACATCTGGGAAGTCTGAGTCTTTGTCCAGAGTTCTGACACTGTGGGGGTCAAAGGTCTACAACACAGCCCCATCCCTGAAGCCTGGTGAGAGACTGTGATGCTGAAGTCAGTGAGCCATTGACACCGTTGCCCTTTAAATCTTGCCAGGTGAGAACAGGTGTGGTGGACACACACATTGTCTGGAAGTAGTGTTGAGGTAGGAGACAGTGTTGTAGGATCAGGGAAATTACAAAGAGAGCCTGGGCCCTGGTGGGTAGGCAAGACAGGACCAACACACACAGAGGGGACTAGCCTAGATAGCATGAATGACATGGCAAAGGTCCAGGGGCAAAGAAGAGCCTGTCTGTCAGTAGAGCATCACTTAACAAGTGGCTGCTTAGGAGGCAGGAAGAGAAGGGAGGATAAGGCTGGAGAGGCAGCCAGGGCAGATGTGAAGGCTAAATGTATTGAATGTGAATGGCGAGCATGAAGATGCTGTTTCGTGTAGGAAAAAGGTCAGCGTCCTGAGAATGAGTGGCTGAGTACAGAGAAAGATTCTGGGCTTGGCTTGGAGGGTCCCAGAATCCCCACCACATGCTAGTATGATCCTGGTGAGATAACACATGTTTGGATCAAACAGTCATACATAGTACCACATACAGGCAGAGATACAGACAGGCCAGAAGAGCTCAGGGAACTTACAGGGAAGGGCTGAGCCCATATGGAGACAGCCTGTCTCCAAAGACAGGGAAAGAAACCATGGAAGATTGGAGAGGCAAGAGGGGCCCTCCACGTGGGGAAGAGTAGTCCTGAGTGCCTGGAGACCAGAAGAACAGGAAGCTAAAATGAGAGAAGGAGGAGAGAAGGTGGAACACCAGGAACATAAGCCCTCGCTTGGCATTTCTTCTGAATATTGCCTCAGAGATTTTTTGCTCATTTTTGGATGTCATCCCGAGAATCCTCTTGACTGGAGGCCACCTTGTCACAAGATGCGAGTGGAGCAGGGGAAACCCAGCGCCTGGCCTGAGCCAGGCTCTCGGCCTGCAGTTCCTGCAAGCTCACCAGTGGCTTGTTTTTAAGGTTCAGCGACTACAATGACCCCATTCAGGGTGAACAGACTCTGTCTCTGAAGCCAGGGCCACCCAGAGGCCTGCTTCAGTGGGCAAGAAGGAGAACCCCATGGCCACTCCAGCAGGCAAGGTGAGGGTCGGAGTCACGGAGTAGAGAGCAGGTGTCTGGGGAATGTGTGTCACGTCCCTAGATTAGCCTGAGCCTGTTGTCCTGGTATCACCTCTCCCAGCTATTCAGCTTCAGTGGCCACAAGTGAACACGTGGCTTGAACAGGCCGCTACTCAACAAACTTCTTCAGGTTTGGGTCAGTGTGCCCCCTTCTCCCAGAATAAAGGCCTGCTGGGTCTCAGGACAAGGCTACCGAGAGTCACTCAAAAGGGTTCATCACAGGACAATGGCTGAAGCTGCCAATAGATTCTGGATATTAAAATGTCAATGAAGTTGCTCTTAGGAGAAATAATAACTTGTGTTTTTATTTGAACCGCTCTCCAGGTCCCAACCCCCTTTTAATATTGCCTTCTACTCACATAAAGAAATTGCTTTATCATCTAGTTTATAAAACTGGGTCTTCCCCGCCCCCAATCTGCAGTGATTTATTTTCTTTATAGGAAATATGTTAATGACTGGCCAGGAATCTAAATCTTAAAAGCATGCAAAAATGAAATCTTTGAAAATGAAAACAAATGATTCTTTTTTTTCCCATCCTTTCAGGGAACTGCTGCTCTTTAAGATGCAGGAGGCAAGGCAGGGCAGAAAGAAATGACTCGAATTAGTTCCCTGAAAGCAGCCCCCCCTGGCAAGTGTCTCTCCCTTCCCATCTGCACATTGTCTGAGAAATTATCAAGTATTTCTGGAGCAATAGTGTCCCTAGTTCAAGAGAGCCAAAGATCAAAGTCAGACAGATGCTTCTAGAAGCTTGCTACAGCAAAAGAAACAAACATACTCAGGAAGGAACAGGCGTCTGGAGACTCAAAGGCAAAAGCTCCAATGGGAGAAAGAGGGGATCATTTCAGAGTAGCAGGCATTGAGGGATGAATAGGAGTTGTCCAACAGGAGCGAGAGAAGACTGAACGGCCATCTAGAGCAGTGGTTCTCAACCTTCCCAATGCTGCGACTCTTGAATACAGTTTCTCATGCTGTGGTGACCCCAACCACAAAATGATTTTGGTTGCTGTTTCACAACTGTAATTCAATACTGTTATGAATTGTAAATATTTTTCAGCGGTCTTAGGTGACCCCTGTGAAGGCGTCTTTTGCCCGCCCCCCCCCCCCCCAGAGGGGTCATGACCCACAGACTGAGAACCACTGATCTAGAGGGCAAAGAGACAGCTGGAGATGCATGTGAACCGGGCTCAGTGCTCCACAGGGCAGCATGGGGAAGGAGCATCTGAAGTGTCCCAGAAATCCTTCTGGCGGTAGCGTGAGGACATAGGAGGAGGGGGCAGCCCTGGAAGGCTAGTGAGGTGACCACAGCCCAGGTCCAGACGAGAAGACAGATAGCCCAGACAGCCCACACTGGAGCAAGACAGCATGGAGCATATGACAGACTGGTGGAAGGGGCACCTGGGAGGCGGGAGCAACAGGACGACATGGCAGGTCACTTGGCACCAGGCATTCACACAGAGAATGTGGGACGATGGCGGGCTGGCGGCCAAATGAAAAATGTGTGTTAATGAGGAAGAAAAGGAAAGGCATGGTGGGAAGAGAGGGACCGGGAAGAAAGAGGCATGAACGGGGCCGAGCTCCTGTCAGTCAGGGTTTCCCCATCTTCCCCATTAATTAATTAATTAATTCTGTGGTGGGCAGCTCATTACTGCACACAGCTTTATCCCCTGCCACCTTTTGCGAGTACCTCGTGCCCTTCTTTCCAGCTTCATGTACATAGTTACCTTTGAATTTTACTTTTGGTTGCTCTGGGGAGTATTTTAGAAGCCCATTTGACTTAGCAAAGACCCGAGGAACTGCCTTGTCCTGTTATTCTCCCGATGGAGGATTCTTTGTTAGACCAGGGCAAAGAAACAGCCAAAGACTCTCGACTGTGGGCAGCTGGCGCTGCCTGGATCCTACCCTCTCTCTCCCCCCAGAGCCCCAGGTTTCAATTACCGTGCTATTGCAGCCAGCGAAGCAGGCCGACAGGTAGGTGATGCCGTCGGCCCCACACACTGGGGTGAAGGAATCGGTCTGGCATTCACAGTTCTTGTTGCACAGAGAGTAGGGGTCAAGGGCCGAGCCACGCGCTGAGCTGGAAGGGTTGAAGGGGACTCGTTAGAAGCTGGGGTGGACTAGGACTGTGGAGGGCATTCTGCTCTGATGGGCTTTGTGGTACCCTTGCTCAGCATGCTGCCCTGGTCTGCCTGTCCTTTCCCTTTTCATTCTTCCTGTCTTAGCCCCGGCTGACCTGCAAGCGCCTTGTCCAGGGCCACTGCCAAGAGCCCACGCTGCTGTACCCCTTTAGGTCTTCCATCAAAGTGAGGAGGGGAGTTGTTTGTTTTGTAGTTTGTAACCTTGTGCCCTATGGACTGATGGTGGCTGGGGCTTAGCTTAGGGTTGTCCACTCCAGGACACTATTCTAGATAGATGGCTCACAACTCCTCCTGCGCTGCTGAAGGTCCCCACGCCCGTCTGTTTCTCCCTCTCCTGCATATAGGATGCCCAGCCTGGCTCCAACAGCCACCTTCCTACGGGTTCACTGTACCAAGAAATACAACGAGAGAGCTAGGGCGTTTTATACTTGCCTATGCATTACAAAGACCAGATACCAAGAGCACATAAACTGGAGAGACCAAAAGGGAAATCGAGGCTGGACCAGCTGTATATCGTTTGTCCGGATGTATATAGTGTCTGAGTGTGCAGAATGAGCGAGACCTGGGTAGTGTGAACACAGGCCTTGAGCTTTTTATTTGTTTTTTGTTTATTGGGCACCATGTCATTATACCATGACCCGGTGCGTGCAGTTCTAACCACTGCAGTGTACTGCTTGTACCGTGGCCGTCCACAGTGAGGGCTGCTGTTCAGAGTGAACTGCCAGCCGGAGGGGACTCTCTGTGTGTGAGGAACTGGGAGGGGGGTTGCCTGACGTGCACCCAGGTCTGGGAGAAGCTGCCTCTTTCTGCTCTTCCTACTTTACTCTCAAAGGGTGGCAGCTGAGACCCAGCTCTCCAGGCTCCTTATTGCAGCTCAGTGGCCTGCCTGGAGGAGGAGCCTGACTGTGTAACCTGCAGGGTAGCCACTGTGCAGCTTGTCTGGTCTAGACCCCACAGCCTGACTAACGTGCAGGGTTAGCCACAGTGCAGTAGGTCTGGGCTAGACTCCACAGCTCGGGGTGGTCTCAGAGTCCCATAAGGAAAGGAGACACTGGGCATAGAGATAATATAACCCCACAATCTATTTGAAGAGCAATCACTATGGGGACTCAGGTCCACAGTCCTGGGATAACAGCCAGGGTGTAAAGGAAAGAGACACCATAGCAACCGGCTGGCCCCGACCCCCCACCCCCTGCCTTGCCTCCTTGTTTTTTTTTTTTTTCTGCCCCTTTCTTCCCCCACCATTTAAACATGCTCACCAAGGGCCAGACTTCGTGAAGACTATGTGAGTCGGATGGCAGCTTCTAACTTGCGTAGGAATTATTGAAATTGATTCTGTCTTTTATTTTCAACTGAATTTCGAAATAAGGTTTATTATTTTCTATCTTCGCATCATTCCTGAAGTCAAATGTCAGAAAGAGTGAGTGGACTGGAGAATGAGCGACTGCCCTGCTCTTGGGGCTGCTTTGCCACGGTGGAGAAAAGGTTAGCTCTCAGAGGACAGGCTGAGTCTTCCAACGACAAGAAGAAATTAAGGTCTCCTGGGCTTTTCCTCTCAGCATCACTAGCAACCAAGCTAGCTCTATTAGCCTGTGTCAGAGAGTCCTGATGTCCCTGGGCAGGGTTAAGCTAGTTTTGTAAACCACAGTAACAGTGAAGGTATCCCTGGTGTCCCTGGTGCCCCTGGGCAGGGTCAAGCTAAGAGTTTAGATACTTACTTGTTTCCATAGGGAACAGTGACCCCAGCAACAGGGCCTGTGTCACAGCCCAGGAAGAGGAAGGAGACGTAGCAGGCCGTGGACACTAGGTTGACCAGCATGGCCATCCGAATGGCCCCCAGAGCAGACAGGCTCAGCTTCTTCACCAAGAGGCCACCCAGGAAGATGCCCAGGCAGGCACAGGGGATTGCCGTCATCCCTAAGAAGCAGAACAATGCGGTGTGAGTAGCAGAAGAGGGGCTAGAAGGTGGCAAGGGCCCTGTGACTTCATGTGACCCCAGTGTCTTCATGATGGGCCTTATTTCTTTTTTTTTTTTTTTTTTTTTTTTTTGAGACAGGGTTTCTCTGCGGATTTGGAGCCTGCCCTGGAACTAGCTCTTGTAGACCAGGCTGGTCTCGAACTCACAGAGATCCACCTGCCTCTGCCTCCTGAGTGCTGGGATTAAAGACGTGCGTCACCACCGCCCGGCTCAATGGGCCTTATTTCTGTCCTCAGAGAACTCCCAGAAAACAAGGGGAGACAGATTCGGAAAAGTCAGTCATTGCGAGCCAAAACACACACTGCTGGCACACCATGCCTAGTGCCATCCAAAAGGATGTACGTGGGGCCAACGTACATAGTACATGAGTTGAATCCGGAAAGCTAGGGACCTAGATGTGAAATCCAGGAGATTTTGGGGAGCAATGGTATAGTATTTTTATTAATTATATCTATAGCTATAAATCTATCTATCTATCTATCTATCTATCTATCTATCTATCTATCTATCTGGTGGTATTCTGTAGACCAGACTAGCTTCAAACACTTGGCAATCTTTTTACCTCAGCTATCCAAGTAATGGGAATAAAGGCATATCCTAGGAAGTTCAACCTCTCTGTGAATCATGCATGTGAATGTGTTTGTATGCATGTACACATATGTGCCTGTATCATGTAGAAGCCAGAGGATAGCCTTGGGTGTCATTTCTCAGGCACCTGGTTTTGAGATGCCCTCTCTCGCTTTGGCTTTTATGTTTCTCACTGTATCTGAGTTCTGAGCATGGAACTCAGATCCTTAGTCACCTTGCCACATGAGCATCGCTGGGCATATCTGCAGTGACCCCGAAAGGGTCACTTAAGGGACTTAAGATTACCTGAGAGTTTAGGGAGGGGGAGATGGTTTAGTAGACAAAGTGACTGTCATGCAAGCATGAAGACTGGAGCTCTGATCCCTAGAAGCCACAGAAAGGCCAAGCAGGCCTGGTGGCCTCAATATACAGGAGGCAAAGGTGAGATTCTAGGGACAAGCCATTAAGCTAGACTGGAGGAAAATGGCAAAGTGCCAAGCTCAGCAAGAGACTCCACCTCAAAAGATTGAGTGGGGGAGTAACTGAGGAGATTGACATCAACTTCTTGCCTACACACACAGTCCTATACACTTCAGTTGCAGACAGATACACACATGGATTCAGCATACACACTCACACACTCTCAGACTTATCCACACTTATACATGTGAACATACACACACGAAATACACACACCCACACTCTGAGGATTTTCTCTTCCTCTTCTAATGAGGCAAGGCAAGGACAGTTCATAGGCTCCAAAGCTGTTTAAGCCAAAGGCTGCAGGGCTCCCATGTCAGTGGAGGACGCCATTTAGCCAGTTCTGCCACGCCTCAGGAAGCGGTATCAGTCCCATCACTATGTTCTGCAATACCTGGTTAATAATTAGTAAGTATACACAGTCTCTCTCTTCTACACGGAGCTATCTCATAGGCAGTAGGCCCGAAACCTGTTCCCCAGGACTCTCAGAGACCCAGAGTACTGTCGGAGAACCAAAGGATCCTGCTGTCCCAATCTCCTCTTTGCTGGGGCTCTCTTCTGATTCATTTCATCTGCGATTCATCTTTAAATTACCGAGTGTCTTTATCTACCGTGTAGATTATGCATGGCCAGTTTTCCAGTCTAGGCTGTCTCCTCCCTGCCAATCAACCGACCCCCCAGGTCAATCGACTACATCAACCAGCTGGTACGTGCTGAGGGAATGCAAATTAATTTTTCGTATTACGGTAAGAAAATAAAATTGGGAAGGCTTAGCTTGCCAAGGCCCTATCCTGGCCATGCTTGGAACAGACACAGCCCTGTGTGTTACTGGCTGCCTCTGACATCTGAGCTTAGTTTCCACCTGACCTTGTCATGTGAGCCTCCATCCCCAGCCCAGGCCACTGGCCACTCTAACCACAACCGCTTTTTCTACTTTCTCTCCCTGGAAATGTCTAGGTGCCCAGGGTGCCACAGTCTTTGCATACACATTGGTTCTATTCCTAGGACACACTTGTTCATCTTTCCTGGATGGTCTCCCTCCTCTTCTAAGAAGCTGCATCGGCCCCCACTCCTCTGGTGACATACAAAGGGCACTTATGACCATCTGAGGATCTGAGGCAGGGAACATGGCTCAGGGGATAAAACACCCGTGGTACCAGTGAGATCCCAGAGGTGGGATCTCAGAAGCCAGGTTAAAGCTGGGCAGGTGGTGGCCCACCTGTAACTGTGCATTTTGGAGGAAGAGACAGCGGATGTCCATGGTAAGCCATTCAGCTGGTCTAGCTGGCATCGGGGAGCTCTTGGTTCAGCAACAGTCTCCTGTTATCCCTAGGCAGAATTCCTGTTGCCATGGTTCTCCCTGCCATCTAAAACTATCGTGTTTATTTTTGTCCATCCTGTATCCTGCTCTCCTCCTCTATCAGCATGGAGTTTCCTGGATGAAGGGTACCCTGTCCAGCCCAAATCTCAGTGTCTAATAGAGCACCCTGCACTGGACAGCATTCAGGCATCCCTTTGAGAAAGAGTGAATCTGTGAGCAGCCTGGATCTGTGTGGATAAGCTTTGGTGACAACATGCCTACTCCTGGAGAGCATCTTGGGCTTTGTTTCATTTTCTAGTTGAGACAGTGGGGTGTCACCTGGTGATGATGGTAACCATGGCAACAACAGGATTTCAGCACCTCTTCTCCCAGTCACTATTAGCTTCCCTTTCCCTTCCTCCATGATGTGTGTATATGTCCTTAACACCCCTGGCCATTGCCAGAACTTCACAGGACCAAAACTTCATCCTCATTAGATTGACTTATGCAGATTGAGCCCCTTTAATCTATACTCATAAATCAATGTCATCGGCCCCTGGCTTGTCTACACTGCTCTTCTCTGAACTCTGACCCATTTGCTGATGACTTTGTGGGTGGCCCAGAGTCTTTCCTGCATAGTACTGCACACACACTATCTTCCAGGAGCACAGGAGCTATTCTGACAGCATCTCCCTACATAAGTGTCCCCTAGTGCACCCTGCCCGCCCCTCCTGCAGTGGGCTGTCCCCAGTACACACTGATTGGATCTATGCCATTGGCTAGACATAGAGACAGGAGATGCTGGCTGTCTGCCTGGAGACTATGAAGAGATCCCCCACCCCCTTTCTTCCCACCTTGTTAAGCACTCTAACAAGCAGGAACCATTGGGAAACAAACAGATGTTAGGTAGCAGAATTGTTTTTCTGACCTTCTGCCCCGGAGACTATTGATTTGTGTGTCGATAGAAAGCTTAGGCATTTGTTCCACAATAGGACCTGGCCCTGAAGATGCAACAGTGCAAACACAATCAAGATGGGAGATGTAGCAGCAGAGAAACCAGGAGGTGGGAGATAACCTCTGGGGTGCTGCTGCAGGGCCAAACCCCAGATCCTAGAGACAGCAAACACTACAGCTTCCACTATAAGGAGAGGTGGGTTTTTTCCCCTCCATTCTGCAAGTATTAAAAAGCTGCATTTTGCTCATACTCTGACCAAAGGGTAGGTGGCAAGAATGACTAGTGAAAAGAGAGGAGAAGAAAAAAACCCAAAAAACAAAAACCACCACCACTAGGAGCAGCAACAACAAAAACAAACAAACACAAAAAAACTTGTATTCCTCTTCAGTTTTCAGGGAGGAAAAAAAAAAACAACTATGACATGTTGTCATGATGGTCAGGGTTTAAATTTCTTTTTAATCTGAGATGTGAAACACACAAGACCATGCTGCTGAACTTTCCAATATGCAAATGCCCCCACAACCAGCACTCAGGTCAAGCCTAAAACAATTCCAGATGCCTGGGGATCAGGAGTGCTTGATCCTCAGCACTTTCATAAAAGCCAGGAGTAGGGGTGCACACTTGGAACCCCAATGCTGGGCTGTAGGGAGACACATGGAGCCCAGCATCACGCTAGCCAGCGAGAGACTTTGCATGGGAAACTAAGGTGTGGAGGGACTGAAGAGGATACCTGCTATAGATATCTGGCCTTCACATGCCTATGTGCGAATGTGTAAACACATGCACAATTCACACACACCGCACACACACACACACACACACACACACACACACACACACATGCGCAGCTGCTTAGGAGGCTCCTGGGTACCTCCGCCCACTTGTAAGCCTCAAGGACAACTGTGCCTCTTGCTTCTTTTATCTTAACTGAAGATTTTTTTTTTAAGTCCCATAAATAAATTCTCTTTGTGTGTGACACATTTAAACTCATACCCATTTACATGGACGCCTGTGTGGGAGTCCATCCTTTCCCAAGCTGTGTGGTACAGAATGAACAGTCTATAGTTTATTTGCCCATTCTGCTGTAGACAGACATTTGGGCTGGTTCCAGTTTGAGAGAATTATGCACAAAACCCGCTCCGAACGTTGTTATATATGCATATGCAAATGAGCGGACCTAAACACTCCATTCTGTTGGAGAAGTGCCCAGAAAGGGAACTGACGGATCACAGCTCAGGCATATGCTGAGCTTTAATGGAGGGTGGAAAAACCGCCCGAAGCAGAGGTTCTGTCGTGCATTCCCATGGCAGTGTGGGTTCCGGTTCCTCCTGGTCCTCCCCAACACTCGGAGCTGTCATCTGGTTGGTGTGTCATAGCGCCTCCTTGAGGTTTCAGTGTGCATTTCCCTCATCATGCTAGCCAGAATCTTTGTTATTTATTGGCCATTTTGTGAAGCAACAGGAGGAATCTCTCTCTCTCTCTCTCTCTCTCTCTCTCTCTCTCTCTCTCCTCTCTCTCTCTTTCTCTCCCCCTCTCTCCCTCCCTCCCTCTCTTTGTGTGTGTACATGCATGTGTGTGTGCATGCATGCACAGGTGTACATAGGTGTGTGAAGGCTAGAGGCTGAAGTCAGGTAACCTTCATCTATGGCTCTCCACTTTATTTTAAAATTTACTTTATTTTATATATATGGGTATCTTGCCTGCATGTATGCTTGTGTACCATGTGTATGACTAATGCCCAGGAGCCAGAAGAGAGCTCTAAATCCCCTGACACTGGAATTATTAGCACTTCTAAGCTACCATGTGGGTGAAGGGAATTTAGTCTGGGTACTCTGAGAGAGCAGTCCATGCTCTTAACCTCTGAGCTGTTTTTTTAAGCCTCTGCACCTTTGTTTATTGAGATGGGTGGCTCACTGAAGTCAAGAGTTTACCCATTGGCTAGACTGGCTGGGTTTGATGCTCACGGCCACCTATCGCTCTAGCTCAAAGAGACCCCACACCTTCTTCTGACCTGCAGGCACATGGAATGCACACGGCACACACATACCCATTCAAGCAAAGCACACATACCTAAAATGGCGTCATGAATCTTTGAACCAAAACAACTCCTGGGGCTGTAGAGGTAAAGTCCCCGCGGTGGGGTATATGGTACTGAGATCATCCCTTAGCCTAATAAAAATCTATTAATCTAAGATGGACTTTGATTGCTTTCTTCATGTGTGCTTCAAAATCTCCCGTTCACATCAGTCAAGGGACTTCCTGGCCTCTCATAAAGCTTCCTACATGTACCTTCTATTGTTGTTCTTCCTTATAATATGGGTTTTTAAATTTATTATTATTATTATTATTATTATTATTATTATTATTATTATTATTATTTATGCCTGAGTGTGTCATGGTACCCATGTTGATTCTCTTCTCCAAAGATGGGTTCTGGATTTTGAACTTGGGTCACCAGCCTTGAGAAACAAATACTTTCCCTGCTCAGCCATCTCACAGACCCTATAATATGTTTTTAGTATTTGTCTCAAGTATGAAAAAAATCTCACTCCGAAGTTCCTTGCAAAGAAAGGTCACAGATACACCACATCACTATTGGCTTAGCATAGCCCTGCACACTTCCTGGCTCTCAGTGCATTCTCTGAGCATCTAGGTATGACCGGAGGGCAAAGAGACCCACTCACCGAGCAGCTGGTTGGCAGAAGAGGTGGTGAGGTTGAACTGCTGTTCCAGGTACTTGCCCAGGAAGGCAGCGAAGCCGGCCACCACGGCAATCTCCATGCAGGCAGCCAGGACGATACAGGTGAACACGGGGTTTGAGAGCAGGTGCTTGGTGACCTTGGGGATCACTGTGGGGAGGGACAGAAAGCAAGGTCAAGGTCACACGTGTTGAGTGCCTACTCTTGAGATCTCATTAGAGACTCCTTCTTGATTCATTCTTGCCTGTTTCTTTAAACAACACCCAAAGGCACTTGGGTGGCTCAGGCCAGAATCTTTATCTTTATGTAGGTCATTTGTAACTTTGAGAACTCTGGATTCAAAGCACACCAATATCCTACAAAGTAAGCCATCTTCTACTAAAACACGCTGCTCTATCTGGCTTCTTCAATGCCACAACTTCAGGGGCTCACATGAGATAGTCAGGTATCTTTTAAGGAATTACAAGATTTTTTTTTTGTCCCTCACTCCACTCCAAAAGGAAATCTGTTTGGAAATTTTTCCCCCAAGGTGAAAACTGTTACATATATAAGTTGTATATACCAAATTATTTAGGTATATGTCAACATGCCCAATATATGAGCAACATTTAGAACTACACTCTGTATGCTCAGTCAGAGAATAGGTTTAACGTCATCAGTGTCAAGAAGAAGTGAACCTCTCATCTTTTACAAAATAAGTATGAACCAAATCAAGTCTTCCTCTCAGCTCTTACCTGCAGGGCCGGCGCAATCCATGGGGGGGGGGGCTGAGTTAATAGCCTTGATTTGATCATACTCTACATAGTAACTATAAGATCAGCTTAAAGGTTTTACTGCTCAAGTGTTTACAGTAGGGAGAACCACAGCAGGGAGTCTATGATTTACAGTCTGGTACTCTAGGTTTTGGTCTACTTCTTGGTGCTGGGACAGTCCCAGGATGCTTGACCTTCCCTCCCCATTCCCAGACCTTGTGCCCCCCCTGAGCGGCATCCACATTGTATTGTATGCTAGGTCTTCTTCATCTATCATAATGCTCTTCTCCTAAACGTTTACCACGCTCATACCCCGCCCCCCAAGTACACTTTCCTCATTGCCCAACCTAACCAGGAAGAGGTTCCCAGACCACTGTAGGTGCCCAGGGACTCAGGAGAATTGGCTTGCAGCACGCACACCCTGGAGCTGTGCACTGTGTTACATCTCAGCAGGGCCTGACAGTGGTGTGGAGGCCACGTGGTTCCATCTTTTTTACTCTGGTCTAATTTGCATTACAGTATGGTTTCGTAAGCCAACAAAACTTCCTCTTCTATCGGTGCTCCTAAAAATTGGAGATTGGTTTCTGTACTTTGAAAATAAGTACAATTACTTAAGTTTCTAGTGAGTAGAGTTCTTGGCACATGGTCTTCAATCAGCTCTCCTCAATTGATGTGTGTATATTCCAGATGATGCTATGTTAGCCCCATCTTTTCTGCACTGATGCCTTTCTTTCTTTCTTTCTTTCTTTCTTCCTTCCTTCCTTCCTTCCTTCTTTCTTTCTTTCTTTCGTGTGTGTGTAAATGCAGATGCACCTATGCCAAAACATGCATATAGATGTCAGACTTGGGAGTCAGTACTTTCCTTTCACTTTGAGATAGCCATCTCCTTCTTGCCTTCCTACCACAGGTTAGCAGGCCTGCAGGGTTTCTGGGGATTCTCCTATCTCCGCCTCCCACTTCCCCAAAGTTAGATATTTGTGCCATTCATCCAGCTTTTACATAGACTCTGGGGATTCAAACTTAGGTTTTTAGACTTGCACGGCAAACACTTTTACCAAGTAAACCATCTCAGACTCTACACATTTATTTTGGTGTCTGTACCGGACACCAAAATCTACACATGCTCAAATCTATTATATTACATACTATTGGTCTGTCACTCATGCCCATTCTTTGATGTACCATGAGTCTTTTCTAAACCAGTAACATCAAGTACAAGGCGGATGCTATGCAAGTAGCTGCTAGAGGACATTGTGTAGGGGATCATGATAACGACAAAGTCTGTACTCGTTCAGTACAGATGCAGTTGTCCGTGGCGTGCATTTCAAGCAGCAGTTAGTTAGGTCTGCGGATGTAGAACTCACACAGATGGAAGCCAGTGGTATTTACAAAATAATTAACCAAATAGAGCTGATTCATCAAGAGCTATGGCTTAAGACAAGCAAACTTGATTTCAAGTAATTTGAAGACAAGTCTTATTTAAATCATAAATAATTCTCTATAAATAGTAAGGATAGAGGTGAGCTGTAGGTTACAGCCAACACTGTCCAAGTGTTGTGCTGTGATTGATTAGACTTGGGGCTGGTTGGCAATGGGGCTCAATTAGTAGAGTTGGCTTGCCTCGCATGCACATAGCCTTGGGTTTGATCTCTAGGGCTGCACAAAACAGGCTGGCAATCTCAGCCCCTGGGAGGTTGAAGCAGGAGGATCAAGATGGTTCTCAGCTACATAACGGGTTTGGGGTCAGCCTGCGATACATGAGACCCTGTCTCACACACACAAAAAAAGAGAATTCTATTTTGTTATACTCATATTAGTAAGAAAAATGAGGCATGGTGACAGGGTCTACTTGTTTTTCTTTGTGCACATGGAAAAGATCATATGCAGAGACTCATGAGAAGTCAGATTAAGTATTAGAAAAGCCCAGTAAAGTGCCTGTGGCCATATAAAATGAATAGGTGGGCTGGGAGCCCAACCCTGCACTCCAAGGTGACGACTGAGCCAGCTGTCCTAAAGAAGAGAGCTAATTACACAGGCTCAATTGCATCTCCTAGGAGATGAAACCTCCAAATGGCCCATCTAATTAGAATAAAATAATAATAGGAGACACATAAGTTTTTAATAACGTTAACAGACAAGCTCAATGCATCAAAATGACAGAACAATAGGCCAGGGACTGGCAGATATACAAAACTTAAAATTTTTCATCTCTGGGAAAGACATCAAGTTTCCAAAGTGAAACTCTCCAGAGGTGTGTGTGTGGGGGAGGAGGGATTTAAGGGTTTAGTTACAGCATGGTGCTGGAGCAGATGAGCGGAAGCTGAGATTACTGTGGACTGAGCCCTGAATCCCACATCCAAAGGAACATAGTCAATAACCAGAGTCGATGGCCTCGGCTGTTCTGCTTGTGTTTCTGAGGCTTTAGGAAGGCAGCTTGAGGGTTAACGGGATGTGCAAGAAAAAAAATTAAAGCCAAAACTTTACGAAGTGTATGAACCAAGATGGCAAACAAACAGCTTCAAGCCCTCAGACTTCATGCCCGCACCGCACCGCACACTGTGCTTAGAGTTTCCTGGTCTTTATGGGCACGCTGTGTGTATACTTTACACGCCTTTAAACATTTATGGCAATCTGACTTTTCAGAAGTATCATTTCAAGTAAATGCCCAGGAGTGTTTGCTTTTAAAATCTGTGTTTAAATGTTAAGAAACTTTCCTTTGTTAAATCCATATTGTTTTAAAGTATTGTACAAATACTCAGAGAACTGTTGACTCGGCAGCGTTTAAAGTGGAGCTCAACAAATACGGAAAACGAACACAATGGGCATAATAAACAGAGGGTGATTTGTTCTTTATGGACAAGAGTGCTTTGGGTATCAAGACTGGTAAATCACTGTTGAGGGGCCAAGGTAAACTTGAGACAGGGTGTGCCAAGCACGAGGCTAGTCTGTACCCAGAATCAGGGACAGGTGGGTCATAGCCACACACTGTAGGGAGAGCAATCACGTGGTCGCAGCGGCTCCCTGGAGTGGGTGACTACGAACCTACGTCCTGGCCGCTGTTCCACACACTGTAGGGGGAGCAATCACGTGGTCGCAGCAGCTCCCTGGAGTGGGTGACTACGAACCTAAGTCCTGGCCGCTGTTCCACACACTGTAGGGAGAGCAATCACGTGGTCGCAGCGGCTCCCTGGAGTGGGTGACTACGAACCTACGTCCTGGCCGCTGTTCCACACACTGTAGGGAGAGCAATCACGTGGTCGCAGCAGCTCCCTGGAGTGGGTGACTACGAACCTAAGTCCTGGCCGCTGTTCCACACACTGTAGGGGGAGCAATCACGTGGTCGCAGCAGCTCCCTGGAGTGGGTGACTACGAACCTAAGTCCTGGCCGCTGTTCCACACACTGTAGGGAGAGCAATCACGTGGTCGCAGCGGCTCCCTGGAGTGGGTGACTACGAACCTACGTCCTGGCCGCTGTTGTGTCACGGCAGACACCACTGTGACTTAGTCACTGTACTCTTTCAGATGACACAGAGGTTCTGGAAGCCCTGCCAACAGCGAAGCGGCAGGTTCGGGACAATCCAGGTAGATCTAGGATCTCTGCCATGCTTTCGCTGTAGGCTTTATTTCCTCAGGGGGGAGTGCAGTCTCTGCCGAGCGGGATTCCAGAATAGGAAGGAGCTTTGTATTCCCCTTGGATCACACCACCTGGAGCCTCCCACAGCAAAGTTTATCTGGCTCCAAAATGACACTAGCGATGATGGTTTGAGTCAATTAGCACATTTCTGCAGACCTCACCATGGCCTTAATCTTCATTAGATTCTTCATGATCTGTTTCAGGGTAGGAAGGGCTCTGGCCCCATGAAGATGCAATTCCGGTTAATAGAACATTTCTGTATTTCTTCAGGCTTTTAATTATTCTCGAGTTCATTCCACTCTGCAAGAAGAGCTCCTAGTTAAGACAGGAGCCTTCCTGCTTGCCTTAAGGCCTAACTAACTTCTCCTTGAATTAGATGTGAAAATGATTAAGTTCAAGAATCACTGGGCTGGGGGGAAGGCCTGGGATGCCTTATTTGCCTGACCCTTTTCTCTCGGTAGCCAAGCTGACTGGCTTCCTCAAGTTCTGCTCTCTTCCTCCCACATTCAGCCTCCCATGCACAATTTTATCGTAGTAACTTGCAGCCATCAAAAGCCGACTCCCTTTTCACAGGTTCAGCCCACCTTCCAGACGCCAGCTTGGAAATGAGGCCTTAGTTAGCTTGGCTTTAGGGCTGTCCTAGTGCCCCAAGCAGATTGCTAAACCCATAAAAGTCAGCCTTTCAAAGAAGGAGTGGCTAAAGAGTGGCCCAGATGAACAGAGAGTGGTGAACCAGGGCCACAACAGACCACTGAACATCTGCA